TCCCGACTTCTCTTCCTGTCCTGTCTCAGTCCCTTCAGTTCTCTGGGTCTTTCCCTCCCCCCACCTTATCCCACTCCTTGAGGATCCACAGAGGAAGCAACCCCAGGTTCCACCTTAGTTTCCCGCCTCCAAGGCAGCATGGCGGGTGAGAAGTTGAGGCCGCGTCCCTGGGCACCTCCATGCTCCACCCCCCACCCAAGACAGCTTGTTACCACGACCAACAGCCACTGGTAGCCTCCATCTGATAAGACTTATCTACTGGCCCAGGGCAGGCTGGAGCTGGCGTAAGCCCCAGTGGGGTGTTGAGTGAGTGTGCCCCTGCTTCTCGCCAGTCGTGGCCTGCTCCGCAGACTGGGCCTGGGTCAGCAAGGTGTGCCACAGGCTTTGGTACAAATCCCACCGAACCTCCTTAAACCTCGTTCTTCTCACCTGCAAAATGGGTACAGTCACATTCCTCCCCATCTTGCAGCTAGGAAGATTCGCATACATAAGGGCCCAGCCCAAATCTGATGCAGACACAGTAGAGGTTTTACAAGGACTTATGGAAAGGTCCAGAGAAGTCATGAAACCAGGTCTGCTATTTTCAAGTTATCCGGTTTCAGTCTGTTTCATTTGATCGGACACTGAAATCCCCAGGACCCCAAGGCGAATGGGATCCAAGAATCCACACAGTGGGCATGTGGTGTCAGGGAGGACCCCCCCAGTGCCCACGAGGTGCCCCACAAGTAGGGAGCCCGCCCCCTCCCCTGGACCGCCCCACCCACTGGGGCACCAGCCACTCCCTGGAGGAGGGAGGAGGGAGGAGGGAGAGGGGAGGGAGGAAGGGAGGTAGGACAGGAGCCTCAAAGGCCAAGGCCAGCCAGGACACCTCCTGGGATCACACCAAGCTCTTCACATCCCCGAGGCAGCTGAGCCTTCTGCACCCACCAGCCCAGGTCAGTCTCAGCCCCCAGAGAGCTCCCCAGCAAGGCAAACCCCAGGCCTGCCTTCCCTAACCTCACGACTATGCCCCGAGCCTGCACCAGGCTTCCTTACATACTCCTGCTCCTCAAAGTACCTGCCACTTCTGAATCCCTTCACAGCTTTCTGAAACCTGCCCCCAAATCTACGCCCTCCAAAGTCCACCTCTGTGCCAACTCCTATTTACTCCTTCCAAGACATCTCTATTCTCCCTACTCCTAACTCTGCTCCCACACCCCAGGTCTATCTCCCCTAAATGCCATCTCTGCCCCCTAACACATGCTCTCATTCCTTTGAAACCCTATCTTGGCTCCAAATGTGATCCTGACTCAGATTCTTCCTGGCATTCTCCCCCAAACCCCACTTTGGCTGCTCCCCCAAGTCCATTTCTGTTCCCAGACCTCCTGTGTGCTCCATAATCTTGACTGCACCCCAAACTTCTCAGGTCCCCCAAACTTCTCTCTAATCCTCCAAAACTTAGCTCTTCCCCTCACATCAGTCTTTAAAACCCAATAGTCAGTTGTTCCTTATGACTTCTTTCTGGTCCCACCACCAGATCATTTCCCTCCCTGAATCTCCTGCCTGCTGGACAAAATGTCTCTCTTTGTCATTTCAAACACCATGTCTACTCCTCTGAATCTGGCCTGCCCAATGAACCCTGCTGTTTGCCTTCCCCCCAACCTGTCTCTGACCTGCCACCTCTCATCTCCAGCCTCAAAACTTTCTCCAGCCAAATTCCATATTGGCTTCTCAAATTCCACCTGGCCTCCTCTCTCTCATCATGTCTGGCTCGAATCATCAGCCACATTTTTGTCTTCCCAAACCCACCTCAGAAACCTAAACTCCACCTCTGTTCCAGTAACAGTTTGGATCGCCCAAACTGGTCTGTGTAGTCCTCAAAATCCACCTCTGACCCCCAAACGACACTACAAACTTCACATCTGATCCACAAACCCAACTCTTTTTTCCCAACCGTTTTCTGAACCTAAACTGTGTTTCGGAACTTCCAGATTTGTCTCTGTTCCTCAAATACCGTACCTGCCTTTCCCAAACCCTAGATATGCCCTAAACTGCTCTCTGACAGACTCCTTCATCTCATACTTGACTCAAAATATGCCTCTAGACCTCCAAGACTCCTGTCTGACCCCAGACCCCATCTCTGCTCCCTTCATCTCTTTGGTGCCCTCCTTTGAGGACTAGGACACGGCTGTTACCTGGGGTGAGGGGCTGGGGCCCCAGGGAGAGGCGAGGGTTGCCCGGCTGCTGCCTGCTGCCGGTGGGGCAGCACTTACTCTAGCGGGGCTGCTGATAAGGAGCTTTCCTATACTCGAGATAAACTTTATCTCTGTCCAGAGAGTGATAACTAGAGGTGGATGGGGGGGCTGGCCCCTGTCAGGGGAGGGCAGACCTGGACCTGTCTAGGTGCTGAGTTCGGAGGTAGGGGCACTGGGACAGGGGTGGAGGGTAAAGGGAATATGAGAGGATGAGGGGCTAGTGGGACTGGAGACCGAATAAGAGCAAGAAACTCACCGTGAGGCAGAGGGGGAAGGAGGGAGGAACAGAATGAGGGAAACGGGGAGAAAAAGAGACAGAGACAGAGAGATAGAGAAGGAGAACAAGTCCGAGAGGCACAAAGAAAGAGAAAGGAGAAGCAGACACAGAGACAGTTAAAGAAAGCATAGGAGACGAGACCCCTAGGAAGAGAGAGCGTGCTGGAGGAAGAGAGATTTAGGAACAGAGAAACAGAGAAAAATGGTAAGAGAGCAATCCTCGAGCAACTGAGATTAACAAAGAATTAGAGACAGAGAAGAGAGACGGAGGCTGACGTGGAAAGATCACAGCCAGACCCCCTCCCAAGGAGAGACACGGGGCCGAGAGAGAGAACACAACTGGTGGATGAAGTTACAGGCTCATCTCTCTCCCAGCACAGCCCAACCCTGGGTCCAACTCTTACGCCAACGTGTACACAGGGGTCTTAAACATGGCCTCCTCCTCCTCCATCCCTGTGACCCCACCCTACACATAGGGAGGCCAAGCCCTTTAGATTCACAGGGCCTGGAATCCAGGTATCCTGACTCTCTTTCCTGGACCGGGTGCAGTGGGGCATCAGGGGTGTGGGAATCACAGAAAGAAGGACTGGGTGGCTGAAGAGAGGGACAGAGGAAAGAGACAGTGTAGGGGACACGGAGAGACCGATGACAATGAAAAGAAACAGAGAGCTATCAAGTCAATTCTGACACATAGTGACCATGTAGGACCAACTGGAAGTGCTTCGTAGGGTTTCTGAGGCTGCAAATCTTTATAGAAACAGGACACCTCATCTTTCTCCTGTGGAATGGCTGGTGAGTTGCTTACCTGACTGCATCACCAGTGCTCCTTGATATGAGTGGGGAAGAGCAAGAGAGCTGGCACTAAGAAAGAGAAAGGGACAGAAACAGAAAGACAACCAGACACCGCGAAAGAAAGATGGAGAAAGACACAGAGAGAGAAATGGAGAGATAGGAAGGGAGGAAAAAACACTAGATTTGCATAAAAGGACCCAGAAAGAGGACAAACTATACTGTGGAGGTATCTAAAAAGATGAGGGAGAAAGACAGCCAGATTGGAGAAGAAGCAAGAAGGCGCCATGAAGAGAGAGCTAGAAAGTCAGAGGAAATGGGGCAGAAAGCAAACTGCAGTGTCACGGAACTCAGCACAGCCCCTGCCACCACCTCATCTCTGGTAAATGGGGAAACTGAGACGTAGGAAAGGTGAGCGCTGAAGGAGCCTGACAACAGGATTATGGCAGGGGAGAAGATAGGGTTAGAGGGAACACCTCCCACCTTGCCCTCTTGGAGGAAGCCAGTGGTCTTGGGGTAATTTCAAAAGTTGGGCGGGGATGGTAGAGATAAGCAGTGGGGGATACTGACCCCCCCCCCATGGAACAGGGAGGAACTAAGAGGGCCCCTGTCTGTAGACCCAACAGAGGTGGGGGAGGGGGAGTCAAACCGGAAACCATGGGGTTTCTGAGAAAGCCAGAGGGCAAGATGTAAGAGATAGGAATGAAGTTGGGGAGTATGGGAGGGTGAACCCCAAAGACCCAGAGGGGGTGATGAAGGGGTTCAAGGGACCCTAGATATACACTACTCCCCCACCTCAACTCTTCTGGAGAAGGAAGGGGGTGTCTATGGGGGAGGGGCAAAATAAGAAGAGGAAGTAGAGAAAGAGGTGGGGAGAAGATGATGCAGGAAGAAAAGGAGCAGAAAAGAGGAGGGAGAGGAGGAGGGGAACAGAAGGGGAAGGGAAAGAGGCAAGAGGAGGGAGAAAAGGACTAGCATGAAGAAAGGGGGTGGCGGAAGGGGAAGGTGGAGATGGAGATGAGGTGGGTGCAAAAAGGAGAAGGGGAGCCAGACAAGGCAAAGGAAAGTTGGTGGGGGGGGTGTTGGAGAAGGAAAGTCAAGTGAACGGGAGGAGAAGGAGGGTAAGAAGGGGCAGGAAAAGAAGAGGTGACAAGAAGGTAGAGGACGAGAAAGGACAGGAGGGGAGCGAATGGGAAAGAAGGCCTGGAGAGGAGAGGAGGAGAAGGAAGGGAAGATGAGTAAGAAAAGCGGGGGAATAGTTGGGAGGAGAGATGGCATAAAGGGAGGAGGGAGGAGGGGTGATGGAGGAGGACAAGAAGTGGAAGAGGCAGAACAATAGAGGGAATGTAAGAGAGAACCAAGAGGAGAAAGAGGAGAGAAGGGGTATAGAGAGGCAAGAAGGCAGGGCAAGAAGCCGAGGAGAGTCTGTGGAAAAGAGAGCAGAGAAGGGGCAGGATGGTCCCTGAAAGGATGTGCTGGAAGACCAGGGAGAGATGGAGGAAGAATGAGAAGGGAGGAGAGAGAGAAAGGAAGAAGAGAAGGAAGGGAGTCATAGGCAGCTGGAGAGAAAGAATATGGGGAATGAAAGGAAAGGGGGAGCGAGGAAGAAAGAAGGGAAGAAGAGGAGGCGGGAAAAGATGAGAGGAAGATTTCTGTGTCTGAACCTCACCCTATCCTCACAGGTTAACTCCCAAAGGCCCCATGGAGTTCCCTGGCCTGGGAGCCCTGGGGACCTCAGAGTCCCTGCCCCAGTTTGTGGATCCTGCCCTAGTGTCTTCAGCACCAGAGGCTGGGGTCTTCTTTCCTTCTGGACCTGAAGGTTTGGATGTAGCCGCCTCCTCCACGGGCACCGCCTCTGCTGCAGCAGCTGCACTGGCCTACTACAGGGATGCTGAAGCCTACAGGCATTCCCCAGGTAACTGTTAAGTGACCATCTAGGTATTGGTTAGATATTGTTGGGGTTGCCTGGCTAGAAACTTTCCATATACATGTACTGATCACTCCCCCTAGTTAAGCCCAGACCTGAGAATTCCCATATTCTTCAACCTGCCATATTAGGGTAGCTATATTGAGAAGCAATATTCAAAGCCTGTGGTGGCTGCCCAACTTGTCAAGTGGAATTCCAAATCCTAACAATCATTCTCAGTGCCCGTTAGAAAATCCTTAGAGGTTATCGCAGTGGTTCTCAACCTTCCTAAAACAGTTTCTCATGTTGTATTGGCACCCCTCGCCCCAACCATAAAATTAGTTTGCTTTTTAAAATCATTTTATTGGGGGCTCATACAACTCTTATCACAATCCATACATCCATCTATTGTATGTCAAGCACATTTGTACATTTGTTGCCCTCATCATTCTCAAACCATTTGCTTTCTACTTAAACCCTTGGTATCAGCTCATTTTTCCCTCTCTCCCCACTCCCCCTCCTTCATGAACCCTTGATAATTCATAAATTATTATTATTTTGTCACATCTTACACTGTTCCATGTCTCCCCTCAGGGAGGTTATATACAGATCTTTGAAATCAGTTCCCCCTTTCTACCTCATCTTCCCTCCACCCTCCCGGTTTCACCACTCTCACCACTGGTCCTGAAGGGATCATCTGTCCTGGATTCCCCGTTTCTGGTTCCTATCTGTACCAGTGTACATCCTCTGGTCTAGCCAGATTTGTAAGGGAGAATTGGGATCATGATAGTAGGGAGGCATAAAATTATTTTCATTGCTACTTCATAACTGTAATTTTGCTATTGTTATGAATCAGGCAACCCCTGTGAAAGGGTCATTCGACCCCCAAAGGGGTTGCGACCCACAGGTTGAGAACCGCTGGGTGATTGAAATTGCAAGAGTGACCAGTAGAGGTTAAGATTTAAGAGTCACTGAAGGGTTGTCAACTGTTCTAGTAACCTGTGGAAAGGTTGGAAACTTCACCACCGTATTGGGGCTGTTGGACACCATTGCACTCTGGAGTGGGAAGGGGTGATCTAAGACTGATCTCTCCTCTCCTCTCCTCTCCTCCTTCCTTCCAATAACCATTCTCCAACAGTCTTTCAGGTGTATCCATTGCTCAACTGTATGGAGGGGATTCCAGGAGCTTCACCATACGCTGGCTGGGCCTATGGCAAGACGGGGCTCTACCCTGCCTCAACTGTGTGTCCTAGCCGCGAGAGCTCCCCTCCCCAAGTCCCTGATGATCCTGATGGGAAAGGCAGCACCAGCTTCCTAGAGACCTTAAAGACGGAGCGGCTGAGTCCAGACCTCTTGACCTTGGGGCCTGCATTGCCTTCATCCCTCTCGGTCCCTAGTGGTGCCTATGGGGGCCCCGATTTTTCCAATACATTTTTCTCCCCCACTGGGAGCCCCCTCACTCCAGGGACCTATTCCTCCCCCAAGCTTCGTGGAACTCTGCCCCTTCCACCCTGTGGTGAGATTCTCAAAAAGGGCCAGGGAGGATGAGGTGGGGGCATGGTCCAAGGCAAAGTTGAGCTGAGCCTGGCTCCCTCTTCCTCTCTACCCACCGCACCAGAGGCCAGGGAGTGTGTGAACTGTGGAGCAACAGCCACTCCATTGTGGCGGAGGGACAGGACGGGCCACTATCTATGCAATGCCTGTGGCCTCTACCACAAGATGAATGGGCAGAACAGGCCCCTCATCCGGCCCAAGAAGCGTCTGGTAAGACCCTGGGCCTGTCTCTACTCTGTGCAGGAGCTATTGGTCTTACTCTGTCCACTGTGGTGCTCTGTGGGACTCCCTAACCTGACATTATATAGGAGCCCTTGCCATCATACTGACAGGAATCAGCTGCCCACCACTCTTTCCTATTACCACACAGAAATCCGTGCCCTTGTCACATACAGGCAAAGCTTCCTGTCATCCTGTGTAGAAATCCCTGCCTTTCTCTCAGACAGGAATCTCTATCCTCACCCCATACAGAAAAACTGTATCTTTGCTCTGTCCTATTGGAATGCTTGTCTTTATCCAATACAGGAACCCAGATGCGTACAGGAACTCCTATCTTCAACCTACCCTTTGAGGTTGCAAACGGGAATCCTTATCCTTAAATCATGCAGAAACCTGGCTGTACTCTATACAACAGTGATTTTACCCTTTCAAATCCTCTTCGGAGCACTTCAAAATAACTAGCCCCCCAGGCTCCTCTCCTAGATATGCTGATTTAATTGTTCTTGAGTACTGTCTGAGCATCAGGATTTTAAAAACTCCCCAAGGGAGATCCTGATGTGCAGTCAAAGTTGAGAGCCAATGAGATGCAGACTCTTACACAATAAAAAAATCCTTATCCCATACAGGAAGCCTCCACTGCATTCTTCCCCTGACATACTCTGTGAGCCCCTATCCCCTACTTCCATCTTCGCAGTGCACTGATCCTCACATCCTCTCATCTCCTAGATTGTCAGCAAACGGGCAGGCACCCAGTGCACCAACTGCCAGACAACAACTACAACACTGTGGCGGAGAAATGCCAGTGGGGATCCTGTGTGCAACGCGTGTGGCCTCTACTACAAGCTACATCAGGTGAGATCCTGTCCCTCTAAGTCTCCCTTCTCTGACTTTCCTGTCCTCACACCATATAGAAACCCCTGTCTTCACACCTTCTTGGCCCCCTCATTCTTCTCTAGCTCTACCCTGAACCTTCTCTTACTCTCATAACCCCTATTCCCCTCTTCTTTCTCCCTTTACTTTTTTTTGCTCCCCTTCTTTTGCTTTCCTCCCTTCCCCATTACTTCCCTTTCTCTGTCCTCTTCCCTCCTTTCTTTCTTATTCTCCTCCTTCCTCCTGCCTTCTCTTTTAGTCTTCCTGCTTCACCCTTCTTGTACCCTTTCTTCACCTCCTTGCTCTCTTCCACTCCCTCCTTTTAGTCCTCTCTTCTGCTCACTTCTTCCTGCTCGATCTCCTATCTCCTTCCAGCTTCTTTCTTCCCCTCCTTCAGTCACCAGGTAACTTTTACTTCCCTGCTTTAGACCTTGGACATCTTCTATTATCCTTGAAGGCTTTTCTAAATGCAAGACCTCACAATATCAGGATTCCTTAGAAAAAAATACCTGTACCTATTCCTTGAGCCAAGTCCCTATTCATAAAAAAAGGGGGTGGGGTGGGTGGAGGGGTATGTCTGGTAGAGACATAGAAAGGTAAAGGTCTGGAGTTGGGAAATACCCAGGGTCTCATTTTCAACAGGTGAACCGGCCATTGACCATGAGGAAGGATGGTATTCAGACTCGAAATCGCAAGGCATCTGGAAAAGGGAAAAAGAAAAGAGGATCGGGTCTGGGAGGCACAGGAGCAGTTGAAGGACCAGCTGGTGGTTTCATGGTGGTGGCTGGGGGCAGTGGTAGTGGGAATTGTGGGGAGGTGGCCTCAGGCTTGACTTTGGGCCCACCTGGTACTGCCCATCTTTACCAAGGTCTGGGCCCCGTGGTGCTGTCAGGGCCTGTTAGCCACCTTATGCCTTTTCCAGGACCCTTGCTGGGCTCACCCACAGGGTCTTTCCCTGCGGGTCCCATGCCCCCCACGACCACTGCCACTGTGGTGGCTCCACTGAGCTCATGAGGGCAGGGCTGGTGTCCCCACCCCATATAAGAACAGCTGTCGTAGGCTGTTACAGTCTTTACAACCCAGCCACTGGGCCCCAGACACCTTCCAAGCTTTTGTACAATAAAACCACCTAAGTTCTGAAACTGGATGTGTGACTCCATGTGTGACAAATGAATCGCAGTGTTAGGTGCTGTGTATGTCATCGTCTGTGATTAGTCAATGACAATATGTGGCTGTAAGGTGTAATGGCGGTCTCCTCAGTGCCCGGAGGCTGTGTAGACTCCTCTGTGACACTGCATGACATGTCAGTGCAAAACTGTGTGTGGCAGCATACAGGTTGTATGACATGATACAAACATCCATACATCAGGGTGAGAGGCAGCATGCACTGACTGGTTGTGATTGTGTGTGACTGCAAGCACAGTGTGACTGCAAGAGACATGGCGGAGAAGAGCACCTAAGGGGCTGTGTTGAAGGAACATGCACAATTGTACTTGTGTGATCATGCATGGCCCTGGATGATCTTTGAGACAATGTTGTCAGGGTACCTGACCTAACACATCATCATGGATCTGGTAGGTGCAATTGTACAGTGATAATAAGTAAAGATTATAGTAAAATCATAGAGTATGAGAGATAGAAGAGAGAGAGAAATAATGGAGTCAGACGCATTTTATGGCAAAAATGCTCACCTCTGCCTCACTTGGTGTTCCATGTGGAGAGAGAGATATTTAATGCTAACCAAGGCTTTTATATTCTCTGGGGACATGCAAGCTCCCTAATTACGGTGAAGACCTACATCACAGGAAAGGGCTGTGTTATAGGTAATACAGTAATGGAAAGGGGTGGTCTAGGGATATACACGCAATAGGAAGAGGAGGGATTGGGAGTACACATGTGGCAAGATGGGCGGATCCTAGATTCAGGATGGTAGCCTAACTTGGATGTCTCTGAGCCGGTTTGACCTTTTCCCTGACTCAACTGATAGAGACCATTATCGGTAGAGTGAGAACTCCACCTACAGGAACCAAGTTGATGACTGCAGGCCTGTCCATTGTCCTTAACAGCTGGGAGCAGGGCCTACCATACTCTGGCAACTGATTGCCTTTAGGGAGGATGTCTGTAAGCATCTGACCTCCCCCCATATGCTAGCAAAAGGCCCCTAATGTTTGGCATGTCTTTAGGGGAGACAAAGCTGGGGGAAAGTCCCTTTATAATCCCAAAATTCCCCCTTTTGTTTTATATATGAAATTCAAAAGAGCCACATGGGCTATACGGTTATTTTCTATACATTGAAAGCTGTCAAGGCAAAACTCAGTGATCCAATTAATATAGTCAAAAATTCAGGTTTATGGTAAACATTTTGAAGTCAGGCATGGGGGATAAAGTCCCCCTATGCACATCTGCTATCGGAGGAAGGTAAGAGAGGGATTGGATGCCACGGTGAGAAGACATAGAGTCAATAGAGTCTGTTTCTATAGGGAAATTGAATGAACCATGTGCTCACTCGGACTGAAAAACACGTAAAAAAATAAACTCAAAAAAACATGAAATGTGTCTGACTCCATTACTTCTCTCTCTCTTCTATCTCTCATGCTCTTTATGACTTTACTATAATCTTTACTTATTATCACTGCACAATTGCGCCTACCAAACCTGTGATGACGTGTTAGGGCAGGTACCCTGACATATGGTGCCCATTACGTGTGGCCCTGTAGGAAAAGAACTCTTTGGAGTTAAATCCCATGTAACAATTGTACGGCCTCATCCGACAGTGAGGGTGAATCAGGAAAAAAAAAATTTCCAGATTATTTTTTAAGAGTTTTTTTTTTTTTGTCCAAGTGAGATATGGGTCAGGCAAAGAGCAAGGATACAGAGTACAGTATCACTCTTTGCCACCTCTTGAAGAAACAAAATGTAGTGGTAACGAATAAGAGAATGAAAGCGTTTCTTCAAGTGGTAAAGAAATGTAATCCTTCTTTTCCAGAGTCAGGAACCTTTGATATGGAGATCTGGGATAAGGGAGCCATTAACTTAAGAAAAGCACACAGGGAAGGACAGAGCATACCCATGGAGGCCTGAGAGCTGTGGGTGCAGATTAAAGCAGTGTTGGAGCCGCTGCAGGGTGAGAGAGTGAAGGAACAAGACCAGCCGAGCATTGAGAAGCCTCTAAGCTACGCAGACTTAAATCAGGTGACAAGCAGGCAGAATGAGTATCAGGCAGATGAGAAGATTTTAGGCATAGCTGAGAAAACGAAATTTGAATCAGGAGACAGCAGAGTAGAAGCATCTGCCCCGCCAGAGTATAACACAGGGAATCACAATACCATCAAGCAAGCCAGTGCTGGAGGGGAAGGGATTAGATCCAAAGAACTGCAAATTGAGAGATTTAACAGAGAAGGTAAGGCTCTGGAAGAGACAAGCCAAGAGTCAAGGTGTAGGAAGGCACCTTTGTTCTCACGGGTGGAGAAGAGTATAGCTCAAGAAGCAGATTTAGAATTAAGAATGGCTTATCCCGTTAGAATTATAGACAGGGAGCCTGACGAGCAGCACCCCAAAGGGAATCAAGAACAGTGATATACTGCCTTTCCCTTTAAGCTACTGAAAGATCTCAAACAAGCAGTATCTAGTTATGGTCCAGATTTACCATTTGTAATTGGTATGGTCAAGAATATGGCAGAAATGGAATACTGGATCCTGGCAGATTGGAAAGTTTTGATGAAAATGTGTTTTTCCCCTTCAGAATCTTTGCAATATCAGATGCTGTGGAACGAAGCAGCCTTGCACGAGCACACAAAAATGCAGAAGAGGGCATAGCTATAGGGGTTCATCAACTGCTAGGAGATGAGAATTACATCACAATTGAGTCACAATTAAACTTTGATGAGCAGACTTTCACACAGGTATGGGAAGTCTGTCTAAAGGCCTGGGAGAAATTAATACCATCAGGAAGCAAGTTACATGACAGTAAAGCAAAGGAATGATGAGCCTTATATAGATTTTATATCCAGGTTGCAGGATGCTGTCCACAAGAATGTGGTGGACAAAGGGGCAGTGGATAATCTTATTCTTACATTAGCATTTGAGAACTCGAATACATCATGTCAAGCTGCCATATGCCCTTTCAAGGAACAGAACACGCTGTTAGATTATATCAGGCTGTGCAGGGATGTAGGTTCAGATGAGCACAGGGCCAACCTCATGACTGCTGCTTTGGCAAGTTACACCAGGCCTAAAGGGAGATGCTTTACATGTGGAGCAGAGGGACATTACCAGAGAGACTGCAGGCAGATATTGCAAAAGAACAGGACGGTTCACAGCGGAAAAGACCCAGGGAAAGAGTCCAAGGAAACTGGATTTTGCTCCTGCTGTGATAGAGATAGTCACTGGGCAAAGCATGGTCATTTAAAGTTTAGCAATAGAGAACATTTACCTGGAAGTAACACCCAGCCAAAAAACGTGTAGCGGTATGTGCTCCAAGCCCCTATGAATGGAGCGCAGGTAATAGAGGAAGGAGCTTGATACAGACCCCGCCCTGCAGAGCATGGCAGGCAAGATGTCTGCCTGCTGGAGCAAAGATCTTAGAGAGAAACTACAGGTATCCCCCAATCTCACAGCAGGAGACCAGACCTAGCCCAGCGTCTGTCCTCACTGCAATGATGTTGACTAACCAAGGAAACACACAGAAGCCGTCCCAGCAGTTTGTTGATTCTAAAAAGCAGGAGCCTCTTATTGAAAGAGTATTACAGTTTTGTTTTGTTTTCTCTTTTTTAAAATTTT